TATAGAATCGTGGAAGACTCGGACGATTTACAATTAAAAAAAAAAAAAAAAGAAAAAAAAAGAAAAAAAAGAAAAAAAGAAAAAGAAAACGATATACTCGTATTTTATATTCTTAATCACATATATATATATATATATATATATGTATATTATAATCGCGTTTAAAATATAATATATAATAAAATACGATTTATATAACACGAAAATCGTTAGACGATTTTTTTTTTTAAACGCAGCATAGCCGGAGAAACACCGATTCTCGTGTACGTGTGTTCGTTATTTTTTTCTCTTTCATTATTCAATAATATTTTTCTTCCTTTATTATTTTATTTTATTGTTTTTTTTTTTTGTTCTCATAATCTACGCGGCGATTGATAAGTTTCGAGTCTAACGTTTGTAACAATTACGTTTCAACATTGTTTTATTTCTTTTTTCGTGTGTGTTTTTTTTTCTTCTTTTTTTTTTTTGTTTACCTTTTCGACGTGGTCTCTCGAAATATTTGTAGAAAAAAGGAAATAGACTTCGAAACTCGTCAATCGATTTTCGTAATGTATAAACGTGTACATCAGTATGAAATTTGTGTTTTTTTATATTATCCATGTTAAATGAAATTTATATTTGCATGTACGTTTTAAACGTATGCGTCTGTTAATGAAATTTTTGGTATGTATGTTTATATGTATGTATACATATGTGTGCGTGCGTGTGTGTGTGTGTTTGTGTGGATTTTGTTAGGGACATTATTTTTGACGATTGAAACAATTTTTGGCGCGAACGAGACGTTGTTTTTTTACACGACGATGAGTGAGTGATTGAGTGAGTGAGTGAGTGAGTGAGTGACTGAGAGAAAGAGAAAGAGAAAGAGAAAGAGAGTTCTATTGCAGAATCAAATTAGGCGTTCTATCGATAATGTTTTAATTACTTAATATGAAAGAGAAATAGAGAGTGTGTGTTGTGTGTGTGAGTGTATGTGTGAAAGATAGAGAGAGAGAGAGAGAGAGAGAGAGAGATAGAAATAGAGAGAAACACCCGAAAAGATTTCAATGAACGGCAATTATTAAAATGAAGAACAGAAAATAATGTGCATAAACGATTGCATCGGAAACCAAAACCTCTCATCTCTTTCTCTTGATTTAGATTTTATTTTTCATTATACCTCATCTCTTCTTCTTTCTTTCTTTAATTAATCACTCTTATTGGTTAATCATTTATTTCTTTTTTTTTCTTCTTCTTCGTCCATCACCACCACCACTACCACCACACTTTTTCTCTTTTCGTTTTCTTTTAATTGTTTTCTGCATTGTGTTTTTTTTTTTATCCTTTTCTTTTTCATTTTCATTTTCATTTTTTCGTTTTCGTTTTCGTTTACATTTTCGTTTTCGTTTTCGTTTATCCGTGCGCACGATTAAATGTCGTTATATATAATAATTACTTTTTATAATAATAATAATAATAATTTGTTTATATAATACTATGATACAACGGTATAAGTACATTGGTTTAGTGATTGCAGGCTGCTCCTCTCATATCACAGCGAGGGGCGCTGCCGGGCCCGCTTCTAAATTACACTTATACATATACATATATATGTATATGTATATATATATATATGTATATACATAGGACATAAATATATGTAACGTGTGTGTTTGTGTATGGGTGGGGGATGTGTATATATATTTATAGGTTTATATGTTACCGTTAAAATATATGATCCAATTAATTCACAAAATAATTATACGTTTTATAAGAAAAGTATATAACAAGAATTCTATAAATACGTTTGAAGAATCAGTTCTTTTAGGATCTTATTAAATAATTTAGAAATTTGACGAGAAGCGAGTAATTAAAAAGTATAAGATAGAAATATGATCATTATCTTTAAAAATTTGTTTTACTTTTCTACAACGTTCTTATTACTTTTTTTTTTTTCTTTTATTTTGAAAAAAAAAAAATCAATGTTTACGTTGGTCATAATATGTTCTAGCGAATTTAATCTACTTTTAAAATTGCAATTTTAAAAGTAGTATTCTCTTAAACAAGTGAATTGATGAATCTATAAAGAGAAATAGTAAAATGAGCACAAATATGATCTAGTTTAAAGTATGTAATTTTATCTTATTTCATACTTTAACAGGTAATTATTTCACGAATTAACGAATTTCATTTTTTTTTACAGTAACATATATATGCAGTGTGGGAAAAAGAACGAATGGGGTCTGATATTTTAAAGCTTGTATTATCAAAAGAAAAATGTTTTCATTAAATATGCGATTATTAAAATCAATCCTATCGATGTAAATTAATTGTTGATTATTATTTGCATCTACGAAGTAAGATTTTAATTGATATTATTAAAAATTATTCCTTGTGGTTTTCTCTTAATAAAAAAGTTAAAAGAAAATTAAAAAAAACTAACTTTTAAAATATCAGACCCCTGATTTTTATTTTTACCACCCCGTATACACCTATAATAAAAAAAAAAGTATATATATGTACAGGATGTTCTGTAATTGGTGGCTATTATTTCGGAGAACAGTATTGTGATAGAAAACTTTGTCAATATGATAATATCTCTTGTAATAAGTTTTATTCTTAACGAATAAGACTTTTTTCTTGTTGTTTTCAGGATTGGCAAGCTCAGTTAAAACTCGACAAATTTTCAAATTTATTTTTCTCGAGAAAAAAAAATATAAAAAAGAAAAGCATTGTAAAAACGAACAAGTTTTATTCCATATTATCGATTATTAGTTTTTTCTTTGTTTCATGTATTACCAATTATAGGACACATCCTGAATATACTTTTTTTTCTTTCACACGTTACTCACGCACACATATAGTTTGATGTGTGTTCTCAAAATGTATACACAACGCACACATTCACGTCCCTTCGTACGAATACAATGATTTCTATATATATATATATACGTATGTACATACACACATATATATATATATATATATATTTATATTATATTTATATGTATGTGTATACAAATTTATATGTATACATTTCTTATGTATATATTTATAAAGTATATAATTAAGAGATAATCCTAAAAGTGAGGTGACCATCACTGTCGCGAATGGACGGTCAGAGTTCAGAGTTCAATTGAAAGAAAATCTACGTGACACCACGTGTCTTTTGGCTCAAAACCTTGTCCGTAATTATTAATGATCGGTGTTTCATTTGTGAAAATCGGCCAAAGTTACAAAAAATCGAGCTCAGTCTAGGCATCGCGTTATTATTTGAACCCCTCACCCCGAAACGGTTCGACAATATCAACGAATTCTTAAAGGACCCGAACGCGCCTATTTCAACCACACAAATGTCATGTTAAATATGTAATTATTGTATCATACGTAAATACATGTTACTCTCTCTCCGTGTATGTATGTATGTATGTATGTAAGTATGTAATATGTTTATGATGTTATGTATGTGTTTGTGTGTTTAGATATAGGCATTTAATTAAAAAGAGGACAAGGATTAACGCGAACGGGCCGATGATGTTAAATACAAATCTTTTTTTTTTCTTTCCTTTTCTTTTCTTTTCTTTTTTTGTTTTATCCCCGGTAGTCCCGATGACTTTCGTTTTATTGGTTTGTCCCCTAAGCTATCCGGAAGCAGTCAAATATCGAATCGATAATTACCTATCGATCAATTTCTACGCGTTAAGACTAGTGTTATAATAGGAACATGATGTCGTCATTCGTTTATCCGTTGCACCACCGTATTAAATTGAGTCACGGATATATTGAGAAAGAGAGAAAGAGAGAGAGAGAGAGAGAAGAAAACTTAGGTCTTCTTATTATTCGTTTATATGTTACCGTTAAAATAAATAATTCAATTAATTGACGAAAACAATCTCGGTCTTACGTGAAATAACTAATCGTTTTAGAAAAACAAACATATATATACAATATGTGTAAAATAATTGTATTATTAAAACTTACAACTAATTGTTATATGAAATTTTATTCTTAATTAAAATTTCAACTTTTTTTCTTTTTACAACAATATTCGTAGTTATTCGTTTTCATTATCTTTTCGTGTATTTTAAAAAGCAATGTTTTGTTAATCGTATATCATATATTTTCATATTACCAAATTAAAATATGTGATTCTGCCTTTTTTTCATATTGCAACAGATCAGTATAGTTATTTCACGCGTTTTAACGGTAACATATATATATATATAAGAAAATAATACGGATGAATATCGTGAGATGTTATTTGATTCTTTAAAAAAATTGATCTAATCAAAATGAAAATCTAAGTTTTCAACAGTGGTACCGGACAAACCGTATTTCCGATCCTCTCGTGTTCACTCGAGGTCAATGACGACGTTGCGGGTACGGCTTGTTGTAGTCCTTATCTCAGCTCCCGCTTTTTATATTAATAATAATCATAATAATTAATTAAAAAAATGCACAGGCTCTTCCTTCCTTCCTTCCTTCCTTCCTTTCGTATTTTCTTTCTTCATTTATCTTCCATCAGAGCTCGTCGTTACGAATTCGAAAAAAAAAAAAAAAACAACGTTCGTACGTTGCACTCTTCTTTTTTTCAAGTTGTTAACGGTCACTTCCATACAATGTCACTTTGGGGGACGGAGGGTTAATCGTAAAATCGTCCATTCCGTGGATGAGCAGCCAGTCCGTGTTTCCGGGACTTTTTTTTAACCGGAAGTCCCCGATATCTCTTCTTCTTTCTTCTTATTCTTCTTTTCTTCCTGCCTTTATTTTATTTATTTCCATTTTCATATTATTTTGTCGTCGTCTCCCTTGTTTCTTTTCTTTTTTTTTTCTTTTTGTGTGTGTGTTGTATTATTATTATAATTATTATATTTAATATTATTATTGTTATTATTATTATTATTAATATTAATATTATCCATTACTAATATATTGTTATTATTATTATTATTATTATTAATATTATTATTATTATTATTATTATTATTATTATTATTATTATTATTATTATTATTATTATTACTCCTATACTGTACATAAATAGCGAGTACGGATTTTACGATAAAATCCAAGGATATGTCGAGGTTCACGCGGCCAACCCTTCGCCCCTAGGCGCCGAAGGTGGTGGTAATCTTGCCGAAGGTGGTGTTGATGCGTTTTCCGTTCTACCAGGTGGTTCTCTGTCGAAATGATGTTGAAGGGGATCGCCAGGACTCGTCGTCCACGATGGCATACTAGCCGAATTTTGATTGCCGCTGTTGGATGATGGTGTACCAGGTGAATGTGACGGCGACGGTGTCTGAAATAGCATCGAGCCAGTCGGTATAGCTGGTTTACCATCTACCAAAGGCCCGTTGCTAGTTGGTGCCATTGGTTGTTTGTCACCAGGAAAACCACCTCCTCCGTTTCCACCATAAACGGTACCGAATAATCCGGCATACTTTGCAGCTCCTACAGAATGCGTTGGCAATCCGTTGTTACTTTGGATCACCGATATCTCGTTCAACTGTAATATTAATACAATTAACACGTTTTGTTTGGTTTTTTTGTTTCTTTTTCTTTTTATTTTTTGGTGGGGGGGGGAGGGGGTTATAGCCTTAGATTCAAATTAATTAAAAATATCAATTTATTATTAGATGCGATTATTTTAAATTCATTCAACTGTAATATTAATACAATTAACACGTTTTGTTTGTTTTTTTGTTTCTTTTACTTTTTTTTTTTTTTGGGTTATGGCCTTAAATTCCGATTAAATAAAATATCAATGTGATTATTTTAAACTCATGACAACACACGAACGAATTAATCATTTGTTATTTCATTGAAAGATCTGTAAGATTATTGGCTGTCACGCGCGCACGTTATCTTGTCATTATTAATAACTAACCTTTTGTTGTACTCCGTTAAGGAATGGCGCGGGTAGATAAGGATAGAAAAGATCCGGTCGTCGTTGAAGAAAGTCCGAGTCCTTGGGTGTGATGGGCAGAGGTGGCAGATCCAACGACATGCGTCGCCCTCGCCGGTGGGCCCCGTTGGTCCACATATGGGTGCCCATGTGTACCTGTACGTCAACAAAATCAAAGAAAATTTCAATCGCAGTTTTTATCATACACATCCCATTTTAGATTTCGAATTTGGATTATATTTTATTTCAAATTTGCGTGTGTGTGTGTTGTTCGTTTTCTTTTTTTTTTCTTTTTTATTAGCGCTAATCTATCATCGAGCTTTTCTACAAATTTTGTCTTTTTTTTCTTTTCTTTTTGTTTTTTTTCTTCTCTTAATTGGCGTTAGTAAAAAAAAAAAAATAAAGCAATAGCAGCTAGCCGGATTAATGAAAAAGTTCTTGGAGCTGGAGGAATGTTTAGACAGATAGTAAGGTTTTTCTAAGGAATTAAAAATAGAAAAAGAGTGAGAGAGAAAGAGAGACAGACAGAGTGTGAAATAAAGAGAGAAAGAGAGAGAGAGATAAAGAGATAGAGAAATAGTGAGACATTGTTTCATATCTGTACCTTTAAATTACCCTTGGTGGTGAAGGCCTTAGCGCAGACGGTGCATCGGAATGGTTTGTCGCCAGTATGGGTTCTCATATGGATCTGGAGGGCCGAAGATGATGAGAAATTCTTATTGCAAATCTGGCACAAGTGTTTGCTCGGCACGCCTGCAAATATATATACAGAGTTTCGCTCAGGTGGCCGTTTCGATTTATGCCTCGTAGAATAATCGACGTTGCCTCATGTTTACTTATTTTTTTTTTTTTTATTTTTTTCCTCTTTTCAATTCGTTCTTATATATATATATATATTTTTTTTTTTCCTTTCTTTTCGTTCCTCCGACATTTTTCCTCCCCTTTTCGTTCGCATAATCTTTTTTTTTTTGTTTTCCACCAAAAATTCGACTTTCCCTTAACGAGAAATTTAGAGAAAAATTAAATTGGATATTAAAAACAAAAATAATAATTTGAAAATCGTAGATGAATATTTTATTCGAGTGCATCGAGTCCTCGAGTGAAGAACTCGAATTGGAAGATTTTTTATTTTTCTTTTTCTTTTTTTTAAATAGGAAAATGATATTTAGAATAAAATTGGACCTTTTTCGTATTTCGTTTTTAACGAGATGAGAAACTTTTACGAAAGAAAAGTAAAAGAAGATGAGAGAGAGAAAGAGAAAGAGAAAAAGAGAGAGAGAGATAGAGAGAGACAGAGAGAGATGAGAGGGGGGGGAAATGTGTAAGAAGAAGGCGTGCAACCAAAAAAAAATAAGCTAGTTTTGCGGTGGTAGATTAGCCCAGTTTATTTATAAACTACAGCTCCAAGCTCAGATAGTTAAGAATGCGCTCGATGAAGAAGCGTTTTCATTTCCATTGAATTTGAACGATTAAGCCACTTACTGGCTAGTCTTTTCGGTGCCGGAAGATCACCCTCAGGTGGAGATCTCTTCATTGGTACACCTGACTCGATCGACGTTGGCGGTACCGGTGGTGGTGGTGGTGGTGGAGGAAGAGGTGGTGGTGGTAAACTCAAATCATCGCTGCACATTGGACTCCTAGAACTCTCGTGATCCTGGCTCTGTTGTTGTTGTTGTTGTTGTTGGTGTGGTTGTGGTTGTTGTTGTTGTTGTTGTTGTTGTTGTGATGGTGGTGGTGGTGGTGGTGGTTGTTGTTGTTTCGCATCGGCGAAGAGGTGGGATGGCATATCGCGTATTTTGTGTGTCAGCATGTGCTGTTTCATGTTGCCCTGCGAATTAGAATCGTAACTTTCTTTAAATCTCGTAAAAGTTTTTGTTCTTTTAGAAAGAATTGCAATTAATTTTTAATCGTTTCTATTATTTTTTCTATTTACAATTTCATTTGGTATTACACGTAACCGTAGTTTGTCTACGATAATTAGAATTTCTACAGTTTAAATTTGAATGAATGATAGGAATACGTTCACCCGGTTGAATGAGCCGGAAGAAAAGGAAAAAAAAAACAAAAGATAACATATGAAATTGAATTGTTCAATTAGAAAATAAAACTTTGAAATATATATTTTTGGTTAATAACATTTTCTAATAACCCAGCTCAATCGATCAAGTGAACACACACCCCCATTGTTGAATAGTTTAAAGTCGACAGTGAAAGAGGAAGCCTGTGGTTCTGGAGTCCCTTACCAGGAAGACGTGGTCCGAGGTGAGAAGTCCGAGGGCGGGTGGCATCAGCGGGGGCAGGCGGACGGTTGAATAGATAGACGTCAGCCCCCGCCCCCCTCCGGTCCCGGTCCGCCCCCGGTTCTTCCGTTCCTCAGGCCTCCGCCGCCTGCGTTTGGGTTTCTCCTCGTTTCCGCTAGTCGACGTTCTTCTATCCTCGTTCTGATATCGGTTATTCGTTTGTTGAGGAGTGCCCTTTATGGTAAAGGGCTTTCGTTGTTCCGCGCACGAGGAGCATACGTCTGATCCAGCATTCTGAAATTATCCGTACAATAATGGCCTGATCGAATTTCCAAACGTTTTTTTTTTTTTTTGAGCTAGGTCAAGCTAAGCTTTCGATTAGATTCTAGGAATGTCTTGTACAATTATAGTTTGTTTCTCTCGTCTCCAAAAATAAAATGATTAATAAATAGGTATCTTAGTGGGAATTTGGACACATTCACAAAAGAACTAGAAGTTCGTTTTGATTAGTTGAACGTTTCGTCCCTTTTATGGGGACTTCCTTCAGCAACTTAATCTCTAAAGTTCAGCGTCTTTTTTTTAATTACAATGTTACTTTTTTTTTCTCTATTTATTTTCCTTACCCCCTATCCCCCACACCCACACCCACCCCGATTTCGTATTATTTTTTATTATCATCGATTCGTTTCTCGGATACAAAGAAATATTCGGAATAATGTAACTAACGTGTTAGCGGCAGCGTAACAGCAACAGCAACAGCAACAACAGCAGCTCAAACGTTTTCTTTACTGCGAGATTGGAACTTATTAAAGGAATTACCTTTGTTGAAAATCCTCTGTCGCATACGGTGCATTTAAAAGGCCGCTCCTTCGTGTGACTTCGATAATGAATCTCCAGAGCAGAGTTGCACGCAAATGTCTTGTAGCAGATATTACACGTAGTGTTTCCACGTACTGTAACAAATTTTATTGTTTAACACATCGAACGTCGGATTTGAATTTAAAGTTTGTTCTTTCTTTTTCTTTCTTTTTATTTTTCTTGTTTCTTTTTTTTCTTGTCTTTACTTTTTCTTTTTTTTTTGGGGGGCTGGCGGAATTTTTCTTTCCCTTAGTTTCTTGATTTTGTTTTATCGTTTCATTATTTTTGTAAATTTTAAATATCATCTCTGTTTTTTGACTATATCGATTTGAATGGAAAACAAAATTGAAAAAAAAAAAAAAAAAAAGAAAAGAATTAAAAAAAGTGTAAAAAGAACTACGAGTTATTTTTTTTTCTTTTCCTCTTCATTTATACTCAACTATCATAATTTATACGAGTATTGTACGTGAAAATATTGTTATCGAATGCTTTGTTGTAAAATGCAATGCAATGCAATTATATATGTGTGTGTGTGTCTGTCTCTCTCTTTCGCTATCGAGAGAAATCGTGCAGTGAATTTAATATCGATGTTTCTATTATAAGAATTCAATTTACAATAAAACTTGGCAATGATGATTATGATATTTGAATAATAACTTTATATACGTGGAACAATTGTAAGGAATGTAGGGTGAATATTTCGAATACGAATATATATATATGTTGTAATATATCGTTTATTTAATGAAATACATATTAAAGAATTAATTTTAGGCGTCAATAACCTTAGTCAAGAAAAAGAAATAGAAAAGAAAAGAAAAAAAAAAAGAAAGAGAAAACAAAAACAGAAAAGTAATAAAATTTCCAAATATCGATAATATCCATTGCGAGAGAGTATTAAAAATCTAAACTTAGCGAATCACTTTTTGCGATCAGATTTATATCATCACTCAATAATAACACGAAAAACGTAGAAGAAGATTCATGATTTTTCTAGAAAATATCAAGGGCTTGTCGTTTGGGATGATACGTCAGAAACACAGTGAACTGGAAGTTGCAAAAGTATGATCGAAAATGGAGCTAAACACCTCGACGAGATTATAAGTGTGTTATAATGGACGGTATGAGTGCTAGGTCCGGCTACACCACAACGGAAATTGATCATGAATTGGGAAGTTAGGGATGGTGGGAGGGAAGTAGGGGGTGGGGTTGATCGATCGATATTGGTTCAGGCAACGAGAGTTAGAGTAGATAAAAAGGAACGTTGAAGTAATGAAAAAGATCAAAATACAATGATAAATATTATTCGGGGGTGTAGACACAATATTCGTAGAGAAATTAATTTTATGCAAAATAACATTCGTAAAGTGTAATATAAATTAGGTAATTGTATAATTTGCGAAATTAATTGGAAATATAAATTCGAGAAAAATATATAGACGAGATAAGCGTATTATTCGATTTCAAATATGTTCGCGAGAGAATTTATAGTGTACGGCGATAGGAATGTTGATAAATATATTGCATTATTATTTCGTAAGCATGATTGATATTTGAAATATTTCTATCGGGGTAACGTTAGAATTCAAAATTGTATATTTTTTAAATTATCAACGGATAACTTAAATATAAAATATAAATTACATAATTATATATTACATTTTACAGCGTGTAATTATATAATATATATCCGTTATATTTTTCGAAAATAATCACCATTATTTTGGATCACTTTGATCCACCTAATTCGACCAATTGCCGAAATTTCTCGATTAAAACAGTAAACGATTTTTAGACGATTTAAAACTGATTATTATCTTGCATAAGATTGATCGGTATACAAATATTTTCTACACCTGTTATGAATAGACAGAAACAAATAGAGAAAGAGAGAAAGAAAAAGATAGAAGAGATATAGAAAAAAGCAAGGGACGAGGAATCGTTGGAAAGAATAAAGGTGGGGTTGGGGTTGGGTTGGGGGGTGGGGTGGGATAAGAGCATATGTCGTCTTGTAAGAAAGAAAAGATGTGAGAAAAATCGATAATCGGATATGATAAATAGGGGGAAGGTGTAGCAGGAACTGCAGCTCGTCCTGATGCTAGCAGCGCCTACCTGCTGGCCCTCCGACAGCTAGGCCGAGCGGATTGTAAGTCGATGTAGCAGCGAGAACTGCCGACGATGTCAGAGATGCTAGAGGTCCGGTGGCACTGCTGCCAGGAGGAGGTGGGACGGTATTCATCGAAGTAACACTGTTTATGCTGGATGATGAGCCCATAGTGCTGGTGGATGGGGAGGAGACCGTCTGCAAGAGTCCTGCGAACATTCCGAAAGGATGCGGCGCGTGATGGGGTGTCGTCGTCGTCTGGGGTGGCGGGGTTGCTGCTGACGACACCGATGCCGGAGTAGAAGAGGCTCGTGGGGTCAGATCAAGGGGTGCACCACCACTTGGAGGGCTATTGCTTTTTTCGCTCCCGTTGTAACGATGATACGTAGGTGATCTGGCAAGGACACTCGATCCCGTACCAATCGCCGTAGTCGTAATCGTTCGTACTTGATTTTCCAATGCAACCAAAGACGTTGAGAAATTCGACGGGGAAATTTCCCTTTGTTCGCTTTCCTCTGTCTCGTGATCCTGTTCCTCTTCAGTATCCGGTATACACCTATCGCGATTGATCTCGCACCTCTCGTCGTCCTCCCTCCGATCTTCCTCTTCGTCTTCTTGCTCTTCCACTTCCTCGTTATGTTCATCCATGTATCTATGTTGATGTTGCTGTTGTTGATTTTGTTGTTGTGGATGTTGTGGATGTTGTGGTTGCTGATTAAGTTGATGTTGATGTTGATGATGATGCTGTTCCGGCTGATGGTGATGTTGGTGTTGGTGTTGCTGTGACTGGGATTCTTCCTTAAGATCGGCGTCGTTTTTCGGATGTTGCCGTTCAACGGCAGGTTGTCGGGTCGGTGGAAATCCTAAAGTGAAACCCGAGCTCGACGGATGAATCGGTGGAAATACTTGAGGTAGGAAGGTAGCTAACGGATGATGCGCGTAGCCTGGAGGGAGTTCCCCAACTTCGTCCGCTTGTATCTGTTCTAAACTGAGCTCGGTAGGCTCGCCCGTATGCAGACGTATATGTTGTTGTAGGACGAGTGCGTTAGTGAATTTTTTATGACAAACGGGACATTGATGAAACACTCGTAACTGGGGTTTAGCACGGTGTACACCCATGTGGGTTTTAAGATTACCTTTCGTGGTAAAGGCTCGTCCGCAAATTTTACATTTGAATGGACGTTCTCCCGTATGCGTTCGATAATGCATTTGCAGAGCGCTCTTACAAGAGAGTACTCTGTGACATATGACGCATTGATTGGGATCTGTCAATTTGTGTTCAATGTTGTCGACCAATTGTTGCAATTTCGACGTCTCCGACGTTTTCGTTATTTCTATAAGACTTTCCCAGGAATTGTCGTTGCTTCCGGGTCTTGGTAAAAGACTTGAGTATATCGCTGGATCCTTGGATGGATCGACGATCATCTCGGTCGCCGAAACGGTCGGTGGGGCGGTCGCGTTTACGACGGTGTGATGGGGTATTTGGTGAATGGTTGTTGGCCCAGGGAATAGAATCCCGGCGAAAGATGTTTGAACGCTTCCGCTACTCGCACTGCTACTGGCCGGCGATGCTCCGGGATAAGCGACGATTTGTTGAGGCAAACGACCGGCCGTTCCTCGACTAGAAAGATTTTCCGGTTGTTCCTCGGTCTCCTCGTCCACCTCCATGTCACCATCGGCCTCCAATCTGCCACTTATCTTACTATCCATACTACAATCTTCATAGGTTTGCGGTTGGGAGGGTGGGTTGTTAACCGAAGAGGGAGGAGAAGCAAGATATCGCCTCGTAGTTTCTTCGAAATCTTCGGTCTCTTCTTCGACTGGTTCCTCGGTGTCCTCGGGTTCTTTCTTCGGCGTTATTCTATCGTTACCATCTCTGCTGGTCGGTCGTTGCTGGTATCTTTCCTGAAGGGGTGAACGCTGCTCCATTTTGATTTCCTCTTGCTCGAGCTGTTGTTTTTGTTGTAGCTGTTGGTGGTGGTGCTGCTGCTGGTGCTGCTGCTGTTGTTGATGATTATCGTGGAAGGAGGAATGATGGGAATTGGATAGAGCAGCAGGGGAGAGGGGCGAGGTGGCCGTCGGTACCGTGGTTACGGGCGGTTTACTCAAGTTTTCCGGTAATTCCTGGTCGTCGCGATGATTAATAATGGGAGAACGGTAAAGGGGTGGCATTCCGGGTAAGGTGAGAGATAGAGGCAGGGGCGGCTGAGGAGGGAGAAATCCGTGGGCCGTAGCTGCTGGATGAAACGGGGGGGGATGATGCGAAGGAGGCGGAGGTGGCGTAGACGGCATCGGCCTTTGACCCGAGGCTATCTGCTGAAGGAGAGGCGGGTGATACTTGTCGAGATGCTCGGGGACGGGATTCGGGTTCATTTTAACGTGCGGAAATTTAGCCGTGTGTCTCTGGAAGTGGACCTTGAGGTTTCCCTTCGTTGTGAATCGGCTGCCGCAGACGTTGCATTTAAAGGGTCGCTCACCTGTATGGGATCGTATGTGGATCTGTAGGGCCGAGTCGCTGCCGAAAACCTTGCCGCAGTAGCGACATCGGTGCTTGAAGAAATGCTCTCCCCTGGTGCCGCCCGATTTCGAGTCGTAAGGCGAAAGCCGAGATCCCTTGCCACCCCTGAAGGCGAGCTCGTCCGCGAGGTTATTAGCGAGTAGTCCTTGACTGGCATTGTCCAACACCTCTTGCGCACGTTTCTGTAGCATTTCGAGGGTGTTAGGTTCGTGAAGCGGCGGTGGATCCGTATTGGTTATTATCGAGGACGCCAACGAGGAACTTATAGAGCATAGCGGTGGCATTTGATGGGACAATGCTAGACTGCTACTATTACTCGTCGTTGATACGACGTTCGAGGAGACGTTCGGCGTAGGTTGGAGCGGCAAATTGAGAGGAGAAGCACTGCTGCTAGGCGTGGGCCGTTCTTGGGGCAGATTAGGCGTTGCCGGGGCCGGCGAGCTTTGTTGCCGATGACTACCGCTGGGCGATTGGCAGGAGGTAGGCGAGGTTAACGTTGATATTGCTTTTGGATGGAGCACGGGAGACGGCGAAGCTTCCTTGCTGTTGTTCGACGGTTCGGCCGTCGACGATTGCGGCAACGATTGATTGTGAGTTATTGACAATTGTTGTTGCAACTGACTTATCAGCTGCAATTGAAAAACCTGCTGATGTTGCAGCGTATATAGGGTGCTTTGCAGGAGGGCCAAGTCCTGTAGGGCTGCCTCGCTGTCCGCCCCGCCCGATAATGCAGTGGCCGCGAATTGGGCGACGGCCACTTTAGTGTTTTGAAGGGCTTCGAGTGTGACGTGACTAGTACCGGCCGGTGGAAATATCCCGCTACTCGCACCACCCTCCACGAAATTGTTATTATTTTCTGCGTCCTGTCGATGGTGCATTTGTTTTCGCGTGCCCTCTTCGTCCTCATCCTGTTCGTCTTGCTCGTCGACGCCGTCCTCGTCCTCCTCCAAAGGATCCTCTTGATCCTTCTCATCCTCGTCTCCGTGATGCGTTCGGGCTGCAGTAAGATCAACCGCTTCGTCTCCTCCTCCTCCTCCTCCTCCACCACCACCACCGCCGCCGCTCTCCTCGCCGTCCGATGTGAAATCATTTTCTTCCCCTGTAAACAAAAAATACACAAAATCATTACCATAATTAACGCGATCGTTGTGAAATACGTGTTCATATTTTTCCACGATCAACAACACTTATTCTCTATCGTATTTCATAAATTTCAATCATTTTTCCCTATAAATTATGCAGTCCTATATTGTACAGGCCTTTATTATTTATTCTTATCTTTTTTTAGTTTTTTTTTTTTTTTTTTAAAGTTTCACTTCACGAATATTGTACAACGACGACCATCAAGGACGTTAAGCAAAACGATAACTTGTGGTTTCATATTATATTCAGGACATACATTGCAACCGTGATAGCATGTTAAATGAAGTAAGTATATAGATAAATATTTTCTCGAGCACGTCGGCGGAATCGTCGTCTTTTATCGCAACACACGCGTCGGGTAAAATGTATGAAACGGAGAGAGAAGAGAGAGTAAGAGAAAAAGAGAAAGAGAGAGAGAGAGAGAGAGAGAGAGAGAAACGTGGCTTCGTGGGTTCGTTTCGACGTTCGTTTAAAACGTTACGTTTGGACGTTCTCGTTTGAACGTACGAAACGAAACGAAAGGTACGATCGATTGGTATCGTTTATTCGTTCTTTAGAACGAGCGAAGCAACAACTTAGTCGATCGCAAAACGGTGAAACTTACTTTTTTCCACGAACACTAACACTAACACTAACACGAACACGAACACGATCGGATCGTATGGCCCGACGAAGAGGAGGGCCGCCTTTTGCCATTTGTGTCAATGATAAAAAAAAAAAAGAAAAAGGAAAAGGAAAAGAAGAAAAAAAAAATTGTAAAAGTTTGCTCATTAGTATTCTTTGATCGTAGGGTTGAAGCAGTAACTCACGATTAATCTCTCACACCATTTCGTAAAGAAGAAAAAAAACAATAATTCAATCCAACCACGCGTACAAATAATGAAAAATAATGGAAATCGAACGAATTGTTATTCTCAACGTTTATAATTAGACGACCCGCGTATGCGCGTCGCCGTTCCCTTTTTCTATCGTTCATCTAATCGAATCTTTTTAACTGTCGATAAATTCAATAGAAACTCAACGTTCGGTATCGTAGTTTCATCACAAAGCCGCCACATCACGAGATATTTTTCTTCAGTTTTCGGTAGAAAATGGGTAATAAAAAGAAGAAGAAAAAACTTCACACTCGTCACCACTGTCCGTGTCTCACCCACCCACCCGCCTCCCCTCCCCCACATTCCGAATCACGTGTTCTCGTAAACGACGATAGTAAAAAAAAAAAAAAAAAGGAAAAAAAAACAACAACGAAGAAGCGCCAATTTTTTCCCACCAAAAAAATGAAATTAAAAAAGTACTTTCCCAAACGGCGGGATCAGTTGCGTTTTTAGGATTTCTAACGTAAAATGGGGACATATTGTAACAAAAAAAATCAGAAGAAGAAGAAGAAGAAGAAGGAAAGAAAAAAAAGGTCAGAAAAGAAAGAACGCACTCCCCCTTTTTTTAACAAAGCGTTGCAGAGTTCTCGTTTCGTTGTGTGTTCGTCGAAAGCGATTGATTCGTACCGGAGGATCGGCCGCCGGAATAAATCCTTGTCGCAGGTTGGCAGCTTTTCTCCTGAGATGATTGCCTGATGCCACCACGGGACGACTCCAGGCGACGCGTTATGCTCCATCGCATGAGTTGCATGACGTTAGTCGTAGAATAAAACACTTTTTTCCTTCTTTATAACGATTCGATGTTTCCACCTTCAACGAAACCCACCTCCCCTTTCTCTCCTCTTCCTACACCTTTTCCACCGCCACCACCTCCACCTCCTGGTCCTCCTCCTTCTCCTTCTTTTCTTCTCCCTCCTCCTCCTCCTCCTCCTCCTCCTCCTCCTCCTCCTCCGCCTTATCCACGGCCGCCGCCGTGTTCACTGTTCACCTCCGGTCGGCATTCGTGTAAGCGAAACGATAACTCGCGCTTCGCGTCCGAACCAAGAATAAATGTTGAAATTGCTGAGTTTCCGTGCGTAGGTGGGATTCCTTTTTCTTTTTTCCTTTGTATAATACTTTTCTAGGGGGGGGGTTCACACTTCCCCTCTTTCTCTTTCTTTCTCTCTCTTTTTTTTTTTTTAGTAGAAAAGCGCCAACTCGCGGCGAGATTCTTGACAGAGAGTAGAAAATAGAGAGGAGAATAGTAGTAGTAGTAAGAAAAACGTATGATCGTAGGTGAGAGGATATGAAGTTCCGTTTAGTGTGTCTACTGATCGTAACGATCGAGAACGACGCGACGGGTTTTATATTACGACCGGTGTCATCCAGCAAGGACGAAAACCGACTGATCGCTCGGTAAAGAAGCAGACTGGGCATAGGTAGGATCGCGCAATACCACTGCTGCTCTACGCCGGCAACCTCATCCCCACCATTGGGTTATTCGTTGGGATCGCCAGCGATCGTGGTGGCGTCCCACTATCCGCGCGAGTTTCCACCACCACCATCAGTTTCACCACCACCACCACCACCACCACCACCACCACCACCACCACCACCACCACCACCACCATCACCATCACCATCACCATCACCATCGATAGCAGCGGCAGCAGCACCAGCAACAGCAGCAGTAGTAGTAGTAGTAGAGTAGTAGTAGAAGAAGTAGAAGTATAGGTACTACCACCACCAGATGATCCTCCTCCACCTCTACCTCTACTTCCTCCACCACCATCACCCACCACTACCACCACTTCTACCACTACCATACAACCATCGTAAGTGGAGAGGTAGCAGCAGCGGCACCAGCGGCGGTGGGCATCAGCACACAACACAACACACCAGGCAGGCAGACTACCGCTGACGACGTTGCTTCGGTTATGACAGGGAGGCGGTGCGGTTCATAAATCAGGGGAAAAAGGGGCGGCGCTTGCGTTAGCCACTCACCGACGAGTTATTAATTATTATCCCGCCGTCTGTTCTATGCACCCTCGCGCTTTAACCACCCACGCGATTCTCTGCACTGTTAACTCGTTCTTTCTCTCTCTTTCTGTTTTTTTTTCTTCTTCTTTCTTTCTTTCTTTCTTTCTTTCTTTCCTCTCTCTCTCTCTCTTTGAATTACGATCCAACACCCACGCGATTTTACGCGATTTCTTGGACTCGGTTATGTAGTCAACTCCTATCGTAGCCTCGCGATAAGCCAACCGGGAATCATAACTAGGTAGGACGTTGCCGGCTTATCCGTTTCCCGTGCGAAATAGCATTAACGCGATTAAGCGTTATCGAGTGCGAACATCGGCACTTCCTAAGGCTTCTGAGCTTCGATCTTACAATTAGCTTTAACTTCTCTATTGCACCGTTTCACGTCATCTTTCGTAAACGATAATGGCCGAATATTGTGACTGTTTAATATATTTCTTACAATTCATTTGATTTCGTGTTTCTTCTCTTCTCTTAACTTCTCTTCACTTCTTTCGAACTCTCATTTTTACCTTGAAAAATATTTTAATGACAAGATAGGAATGCTATAAAACTCGGTCATCTTTTTTTTTTCCCTTTTTTTTTTCTTTTTCTCTACCTATCTGTCATCTCGACAATAGTATCGATAAATGACGCTTGGGAAAAAATCGATTTGACGTGCCTTAAATCATATTATTATACTTATGAAATAGATTCGGATGAAAAGGGAAACATTTACAAGTAGGGTTCCCCTATTCACTGTTTCTTATTCTTATTTATTATATTTCCTTCTCTCTACCTTTTTTAACGTCTGTTGTGTCCGGGACGACTGTCTTCGTCTGTTCTTTAACACGTAGAAAATTTAACAGAGCCATACCAACCAACTAACAACTGACTTCTTCTTCTTCTTCTTCTTCTTCTTCTTCTTCTTCTTCGTCGGGTGTCCGCGAATGGGCAACAATGCGATAATGGGTCGGAAGTCATATTTCACGTAGACGGTCTCGCCGGCAGCAACAGCTTGTCCGGAGTGTTTCCTGTTTCAGGACGCACATACATTTTAACCGCTAAGAAACTACGAATTTGCCTGAGACGGCCGGTGATAGACGATCTATTGACTATCCTCAAAGAGGAAAGGAAAAAAAAAATAAGGAGAAAAAGGGGCTAGTGTATCTGATTTGGGATCTATTGTTAACGACAATGATGTGTCTTTCCTCAACCTTTTCATCCAACATTTTCACTTTTAACTGCTGTTACGTTATTTTTTTCTTTTCATCAATTAATTGTTTCTCTCGTCCAAAAATAAAATTATTAATAAATGTGTGTAACAGAGAAATTGGACAGTATTAAAGAACTAGAATGTTTCGTCCCTTTATCGGGACTTCTTCAGCAACTCGATTGTTAATATTCAGAGTGTTTTATATTTGAAGCAGATATACATTAAAATTAAACATCTATAATTCGTTAAATCCTAATCTTTAATATTGTTTTTAAATTACTATTTCCTTGGAAAGAAACAAGAAGATTCTTATCACAAATTAAGGCAAAAGGGAATACCATAGATAGTTGCAGTAGCGTAGTGTTAGTGCATATAAGTTTAGCCAAAAGAAATAGAGAGTGAGATGATTATATGTATACAAGTAGGGTGGTCCATTTCGATGCGTTCTTTTCCCCGAGTGCAAGGTCGTGGGGGGCTGGTTGGTTGGTTGGTTGGTTGGTTGGTTGGTTGGTTGGTTGGCTGGCTGGCTGACTGGTCGATAAAAGTAATGACTGAAGGATCGGCCGTGGGGGTCGTTGCTCTCGTTAGTTTCGAGTCGCGACGAGTCACGGCGCATTCGTGCTGAATACAAAAGGGATTCGTATTCGTAGTGACGGGGTCGAGTCTTGTTTAAATAAGTTAGCAGCAGTGGCGAGTAAAGATGAAGGGGAAATGTAGTATACGAAGAAGAAGAAGAGGAAGAAGAAGAGGAAGAAGAAGAAGAAGGTGGTGAAGGAAAGGGTGGTAGTAGAAATAATAGTACTAGTAGTAGTAAAGCAAGAGAGAGAAAGAGAGAAGGAGGGAGGGAGCTGAAGGAGAAGACAAAGGTGG